TTACAAGACATTGCATAATATAAAATTAGATTTGTTTATTAGCTATTTGCCATGCAAAGGGTAAGGTAACCACTTTTAAATACATGGGAGCGTTTTTAATCTAAATTTGAATCAAACATATGCTTGCTAATTATCCTCTTTTATGTTTGCAGAAAGCTAGCTCATATGTCAATATTATTTTAGAAGTAAAGCTCCTTCTGTTCACTCTAAACTTGGGGGGAGAGGGAAATTAAAGGACTCCATTAAAATGCCAAAGTAGCAAAATAGCATAATGGTATTTGTTCAGAAAGGTTTGAAGGAATAAAAGTGATTCCCAACCTTGTCTTTACTGATTTGGTATTTTACTCTTGAAATGGTCTCCTGTTTTCTTGCTGCCCACAGCAGAACATTCGCAAACTTGGGTCCAGCATTCTATCACCTGTCCACTTGCTGGACAACTATGTCAACCACTAGCCCCTCCCCCGTTCAAAACTGAGTTTCTTGTCCAGCTCTAAATGAATCACTTACCTCCCCTCAGCTATTACATTCAATCTAAATGTACCCATATCCCTACCTTGCTGAAGTGATCAACCTTCCCGTCTGCTGTCACTTGGATCTGGGATGCCTCCAAAGGGCCCTGTGTTGAAGACTTGGTCCCAGCTTGACACCATTGGAAATGGCAGAACCTTCAAGAGGTGGGGCCTGGTGGGAGGTCTGAGGTCACTGGGAGTGCTCCCTTGAAGGGGACTGTGGAACCCTGTTGTCTTCTTCCCCTTGTCCCAGCCATGAGGTTTATGTCTTTGTTCTACCCCATGCTGCCGCCATGATACACGATCCCCAACCAGAACTGAAAGCAATACATGCACCAAATCATGAACCAAAACCTCTAAAATTTTGAACCAAAATAAGCCTTTTCTCTAAGTATTTGCTTATCTCCGGAATTTGCTACAGCGATAGAAAGCTGACTGACGTGTTGTCAACTGCCACTAATGTCATGAAGATTCTCGGAGTATTCCACCTTCCCCTTCCAAATGGAACACCATCCTTCCTCCTCCGAGTTTCTACAATCTTTGATTTACACCTTGCAGGTGTTTCTACACCACTGACTCTGACAACGCTGGGCAGGGTATCAGAGACAGATATTTCCATCCGAGCTAGGGAAAATGATTCCTGTAATTCCTCCACTGTTCTATGGTACAGAACTTGGAAGAGTAAGAAATCAATTCTGAATTGGTAATCTGAGACTGGGGAGTCAAAGCAATTCTCTCTGGTTTAATCAATGGCTGAATTACCTTGTTCATTTCAGAAATGAAGCACACAAGTCCTGTCCTCTTGAAATCACAAAGAGTCCAAGGAAAATTGTGCTGGCAGCTTCGGACTCATGGAATCAAAGTCCCAGCAGGCTTAGAATACCATCAAGTCCCCTCAATTATTTACACTAAATGTCATGATTTGCAGACCTGGGATCTTTTTACCTTTGAGCAAGGTAAATGTCAGCACCAAGACAGTATCCCTTCACCGTTTATTTCTACTTTTTGCTAGACCTTCTCGAGTCGGCATCATTACCCATTCTGTCCTTCATTTCTCCCATTACTCGGCTTAAATATGAGTTGCTCTGAAAGATCATTGGTAATTCTCATGAAATATAGTCCTGCTACTTTTCCTTTTCTCTAAAAGGAGCATGATAATTGCAAACTGCAACAAACGGAGCTGAAAATAACTCCCCAGGCAGTTGTGCATTAGGAATTAGATTAAAATGAGCCCAATTTATTTTTAAATGACCTGGTAATTTGTAGAAAAGATTTAAGCTACTTAAATTTTCATCAGTGGAAATCTAGGAGGTTCATGAAAATCAACCAATGGTCACTGTGGTGGGAGAATAGACCCTTTTCCCAGAAACCAGAGAGGTGTGCTGAGGGATTCCTGATTATACACTGACATTTGAACAGCAACAAGGGAGTAGAAAGACCTGAGTTAACATGAATTTAATCAGCTTTTAAAAGTCTAAAATATAGCCAGTTCAATGGCAGCTCACAGCTATGAGTGACAAAAATCTGTACTTGGAATTAGTTTTCTGATTACAGTTTGAAATCAAAAGTCCTAGGAACATTTTAAGGAACTCCTCGGCTTGCCTTTGTAGCATTGAAGGATTCAGTCTTCAGTCCAGGGAAGGAGTGACAGCAAACTATTCCTGCACTTGCTAAAACCTGGAGACAGGGTTGGGAGATGGACTCTGCAGAGTCAAACGCATTCCCACAGCTCAGTACTGTGGACTGCAGGAGCACAGTTAGAGGCAATTTCCACAAAATGCCTTCCTAAAACAAACATTTCTGCTATTCCCTATCTCCCAAAGTTTAAACAACAATTTACATTGGTAATGCTACATAAGCACTGAAAGTAACTGGCAGAATCTGATGACTTCTGGTACAAATGTTACTAAAAATTATTAATTGAAATTAACTTGCTTCTCCTTGGAAGAGACCATTAGAATTATGTGTGTGTGTGTGTGTATGTGTTCCTTCAAATGAGCCATCATTCTTGATATATATGAGCATCATTCTTGATATATATGACTACTAATCTTTCTCCTCATGTTTAACATCAGCCATTTCTGAGTCTTAATCACTGTTACAGGTAGATCAATAAAGAGATTTCCATATACATATATAAATTATATAAATTCATGTGTGTGTGTGTATATATATATATATATATATATATATATATATACACACACACACACACACACACATATTTGCAATAGACATACGCATATTCCATAAGCCGAATCAAAAGAGGACTGAATCCAGGGGTGCCTAACCACTGAGCAACATCCCCAGCCCTATTTTTTTTTTTAGAGCAGGATCTTGATAAGTTACTAGGACCTCTTTAAGTTGCTGAGGCTGGCTTTGAACTTGTGCTCCTCAAGCTTTAGCCTCCCAAACTGGTGGGATTACAGCCATGCACCACTGTGTCCAGCAACATTCAAGTCTTTGAAGCAAGAACTTCAGGGAGAAAAAGGTTAATATAAATAATTATTTCAAAAGAAAGGGGGGGAACCTCTCTCATGGTTTCATTGATCCTGAAATTAAAGGATAAAATATGTAAATATATATCTCCTCAAATATTCCCTGGTACCAAAAACAGGCCCTGCTTAACCAAGGCATATAAAAATTTGAAAACACTGGCAAAGTGCTGTGCCAGATGTTACTCTGTTTTCTACTCCACACACTCTTTCCTCAACCCTGCTCTCTGTCCATGAAAGGCTGACCCAACTCTATTATATCAGTGGAATCCAAGGCTCTGGCTTCCCATTGTGTTTGGCCAGGGGAAGCCTCAGCAGTAAAACAAAGGGAAGGAGAAGTTCCCACACCCCTGGGTTCACTCTCTGTGAGGCCACCCTGGATGGACCCATCCCTCAACAGATCCCCAGACCTTCTAGGGCTGCCTGATTATGTGACTACAAACTAAGCCCAAAAATATAAAAAAGGGAACTAATAAAGATCAGAATAGAAATAAATGAAACAGAGACTGTAAAAAACACAGAAAAGATAATGAAAGTTAGAATTCGTTTTTTAAAAAATTGACAAATCTTTAGCCAAATTAATAAAAAAAAAAAGAAGAACTAAGTAAAAATCAGCCATGAAAGAGGAGAGACTACAACTGATACCACAGAAATGCAAAGGATCTAAAGAAACTACTATGAACAAGTATATACCCCACATTTTGATAACCCCTTAAAAAAATGGACAAATCCCCAGAAACATAAAACCTACCAAAACTGAAAATACAAAATCTCTACAGCTGAATGGTGAGTAAGGGAACTGAACTGTAATCAGAATGTCCCAACAAAGAAAAGACCAAGTCCAGGGCCAGATGGCTGCAAGGGTGAGTGCCACTAAGCAGTTCAAGAATTAACACCAGTCCTCACACTCCTCCATAAAGTTGAAGAGAAGGGAGCCCTTCTAAATTTATTTTATGAGGTCAGCATTGTTCTATCCCAAAACAAAAAATATGTCCTTCAGAAAAAGAAAACTATAGGCCAATGTCCCTGATAAACACTAGCAAACTAAATTCAACAGCACATTGAAGGAATCATGCCTCGTAATCAACTTGGACTGATCCCTGGCATTCATGTGAACCTATATGACTCAGAAAATGAGACAGAACACATTAACAGAATGAAGGACAAAATCATATATTCACCTCCACATATGAAAGTGAAATATCTGACAAATCAGCACCCTTTCAACAAAGAGGTATAGGAGGAATGTGCCTCAACATCGGGCATTGTACGATAAGCCCACAGCTAACATCACAGCCAATAAGGAAAGCTAAACAATTTTCCTCTGATGTCAAGTTTAAATCAAAAATTCCCATTCTCAATTTGTATTCCATATAGTAATGGAAGTCCTAGCCAGAAAAAGTAGACAAGAAAAAGAAATGAAAGGCCTTTGAATTAGAAAGGAAAAGTTAAGACTGTTTGTTTGCAGATAACAGGATCTTATTTAGAAAACCCCTTAAAGATTCCATAAAAATACTGGTGGAACTAATAAACAAATTCAGCCAAGTTACAAATAATTAAATCAACACATAATCATTTATTATGTATACTGACAACAATATAGGAGATAAATTAAGAAAACCATCCCATTTACAATAGTATTAAAAATAATAACACTTAGAAATTCTGCCAAGGAGGCAGAAGATGAAAATTAAGACACATTGATGACAGAAATTGAAGGCACAAACAAATAAATGGAAAGGTAGCCTATATTCATTGATTGCAAGAATTTATACTGTTAAAACATCAACATCACTAACAATAATGTTTAATGAACTCTTTATAAAAATTCCAATAACATTTTTTCTCATAAATAGAAAAAAATACTAAAATTTGCATGGAAACGTGAAAAACTCCAAATATAAAAAAAAAAAAACTGGAAAAAGGAAAAAAAAACTGAAGGCATCACCCTGCCTGATTTCAAAGGTAATATGAAGTATAATATAAAACTACAGTAGCGCTCGCTTCAGTAGCACATATACTAAAATCGGAATGGTGCAGAGAAGATTAGCATGGCCCCTGGGCAAGGATGACCCTCAAATTCCTGAAGCATTCCATATTTTTATCAACTTAACGAAAGAGGTAAAAGACCTCTACAACAAAAACTACAGAATGCTAAAGAAAGAAGTTAAAGAAGACCTTAGAAGATGGAAAGATCTACCTTGCTCTTGGATAGGCAGAATTAGTATTGTCAAAATGACCATACTACCAAAAGCACTATAAAGATTCAATCTGATCCAAAAATCAAAATCCCAATGACATTCCTCATAGAAATAGAAAAAACAATCATGAAATTCATCTGGAAAAATAAGAGACCCAGAATAGCCAAAGCAATCCTTAGCAAAAAGAATGAAGTTTATGGCATTACTATTCCAGACCTTATACTACAGAGCAATGGTAACAAAAACAGCATGGTATTGGCACCAAAATAGACCTGTAGACCAATGGTACCGAATAGAGGACACAGAAAACAACCCACATAATTATAGTTATCTCATATTAGACAAAGGCACCAAAAACATATATTGGAGAAAAGATAGCCTCTTCAACAAATAGTGCTGGGAAAACTGGAAATGCACATGTAACAAAATGAAATTAAACCTCTATCTCCACCATGCACAAAACTTAACTCAAAGAGGGATCAAGGAGCCAGGAACAAAACCAGAGACCTTGCACCTAACAGAAGAAAAAGTAGGTCCCAATCTCCATCATGTTGGAATTGGCCCCAACTTCCTTAAAAAGACTCCTATAGCACAAGAATTAAAACCAAGAATCAAGATATGGGATGTGTTCAAACTAAAAAGTTTCTTCTCAGCAAAAGAAACAATCAGTGAGGTGAATAGAGAACCTACAGAATGGGAGCAAATCTTTACCACAAGCACATCAGAAAGAGCACTAATTTCTAGGAATACATAAAGCACTCAAAAACCTTAACATGAAAAAAAAACAAATAACCCAATCAATAAATGGGCCAAGGACTTGAACAGACACGTCTCGGAAGATGATATACAGTCAATCAACAAATATATGAAAAAATGTTCAACATCTCTAGCAATCAGAGAAATGCAAATCACAACTACTCTAAGATTTCATCTCACTCCGGTGAGAATGGCAGCTATCAAGAATACAAACAACAGTAAGTGTTGGCAAGGATGTGGGGGAAAAAGGCACACTCATACATTGCTGGTGGGACTGCAAATTGGTACAGTCAACATGGAAAGCAGTATGGAGAATCCTTAGAAATCTGGGAATGAAACCACCATTTGACCCAGGTATCCCACTCAGCGGTTTATACCCAGGATTTAAAAACAGCATACTGTAGTGATGCAGCCACATTAATGTTTATAGCAGCACAATTCACAATAGCTAAATTGTGGAACCAACCCAGATGCCCTTCAGTAGATCAATGGATAAGGAAACTATGGTATATATACACAATGGAATATTACTCAGCATTAAAAGAGAATAAAATCATGCCATTTGCAGATAAATGGAAGAAGTTGGAAAGTATAATGCTAGGTGAAGTAAGCCAATCCCCAAAAGCCAAAAGCCAAATCTTTTCTTTGATAATATGAGGATTCTGACTCATAATGGCCATGGGTGGGGAGCATGGGAGGAATGGAGGAACTTTAGATAGGACAAAGGGACAGGGGTGGGGGAGAGAGGGTACAAGGGGGTAGAAAGACCATGGAATGAGTTAGTCATCATTACCCTAAGTACATGTAAGAAGACATGAATGGTGTGAAAATACTTAGTTTACAACCAGTGATTTGAAAAATTGTGCTCTTATGTGTAATATGAAATGAATTGCATTCTGCCATCATATATAACAAATTAGAATAAATAAATAATTTTTAAAAACTACAGTAAACAAAACAATATGGTACCGGCATAAAAACAGAAACACAGACAAATGGAAAAATAGTAGAGATCCCAGGAATAAAACCCACACATACAGGTAGCCAATTTTCACAAAGACACCAGGAAGACACTATGGAGTCTCTTTAATCAGTGGATTTGGAAAAAGCATATTTCCAAATGCAAAGGGAAAAAGAAATTGAATCCTTATCTTGCATCAAACACAAAAATCAAATCTAAATAGAATAAGAAATTAAAAGTCACACTTGAAACCATAAAATCCCTAGGAAAAAATAGAGAGGGGGGGTGTATTAGTCAACTTTTTTGCTGCTATAACTAAAGGACCTGAACAGCACAATTGTAAAGGACAGAAGGTTTATTTGAGGGCTCACAGTTTCAGAGGTCTTAGTCCATAGAAGGCCAGCTCCATTTCTCAGGCTCAAGATAAGGCTGAATGCCCTGGTGGAGAGGGGGCATAGGGAAGCAGCTCACATGGTGATCAAGAAGCAGAAAGACTCCACTCTCCAGATACAAAATACACAGCCCATAGCCACCCCCCCAATTCCCAGCTCCTCCAGCCACACCCACCACTTTAGTTACCACTCAGTTAATCCCTATCAGGGGATTAATTCACTGATTGGGTTAAGACTCTCACAACCCAATCATTTCTCTTCTGAACCTCCCTGTGTTGTCTCACACTTGAGCTTTTGGGGGACACCTCACATCTAAACCATAACAGGGGGAAACTCCCTGACATTTTTCTTGGGAAAGATTTAATGAATAGGACTCCAGAAACTCAGGCAGCAAAGCATAATGAAACCAGCGGAACTGCTTCAAACTGAAGGTTCTGCACAGCAAAGGAAGAAGGGAACGGAATAAAAAGGTAACCTACAAAATGGAAGAAAGTATTTGCAAAATCAAGATAGAGGATTACACAAGGAAATCACAAAAAGAGAAAAAATAAATAAAGTATCCTGGTTGGTGGAAAAAAAAAAATGGACAGTGGAATGGAATAGACCTGTTCCCAAGAAGCAAACAGCCCACAAGTATATGAAGAGATTCTCAATATCATTAATTATCAGGGTATGAAAATCAAAATAACATAATACCACCTGCTCTTCTGATTATTACTAAAAAAATAAAAGAAGAGAGACAAAACATGTTGGTGAAGAAAGGAGAGGAATGTGAATTAGTATAGTTACTATGGAAAAGGATGTTCCTCAAAAAATTAAAGATGGAGCTACTTTATGATCCAACAGTTCTAATTCTGGGGATATATTCTGTTACACTTTAGATATGAGGTGCCCCCCAAAAGTTCATGTGTGAGAAAACACAAGAAAGTTCAGAGGTCAAATGATTGGGTTATAAGGGACTTAACCCAATCAGTGTGTTAATCTACTGGTATGGATTAACTAGGTTGTAATGGTAGGCAAGTTGGGAGTGGCTGGAGAAGGTCATGGGTCTCTGGGGGCATGCCTTTTGTTCTTGGTGAGTGGAGCTCTCTGCTTCCTGATGACCATGTCCTGAGCTGCTTTCCTCCACCAACTCATCCGCCATGATATTCTGCCTCACCTTGGGCCCAGAGCAAAGGAGTCACTCATCTACCAACTGAGACCTCTGAAACCATGAGCCCCAAAATAAACTTTTCCTCTTCTACCTTGTTCTTTTCAGGTATTTTGGTCACAGCAGTGAAAAATCTGACTAGAACACCCATAGGAATTCAAATCCATATCCTGACATGATGCATATACTCCCACATTCAGTGCAGTGTCATTCACAGTAGTGAAGATAATGAAAATGTAGAATGCATATGTGTGTGTATGCACACACCTATACACACACGTACATTCAACACACAGATACATAATGAAATTTTATTCAAACCAGAAAAGAAGAAAATCATTCCATTTCAACAACATGCATGAACCTGGAGAACATCATGGAAAGTGAAATAAGCCAGAGACAAAAAGACAAAAATGGCATGAGCTCATTTAAGTAGGGGGTCTAAGCAATGGATTTTGGGAAGTGTAGAGTAGGAGACAGTGACCAGGCACCGAGGGGGTAGGGATTGGAGAGAGGTCAGTAAAAGGACACCAAATTTCAGGTATATTGGAGGAATGTGTTCTAAAGATCTATTGTATAAATGGTGACGACAGTTAATAATAATGAATTCAATACTTGAAAACTACTGAGTAGATTTTAAATGTTCACACACATACGATGGTGGAATGAGATGGGCATCATTCCCATAAGTACATGTATGAGGACACGAATGGTGTGGATACACTCTGTCTACTACCAGGGGTATGAAACAATGTGCTCTATATGTGTAATATGAATTGTAATGCATTCTGCTGTCATAGATAATAAATTAGAATAAAAATTAAATTTAAAAAAAGTTTGTTTTGGGTAATACATATATTAATTACTTTGGTTTACATTCTGTAATGTATAGATATTTCAAACCATCATGTTATATGTGTGTGTGTGTGTGTGTGTAAAACTTTTATTTCTCTAAATAAAGAAGATATAAGAGCATGAGAAATTGCTGGGGGGAAAAAATCTACCAAATTAGACTGTGTCCATGCACAGATATATCACAGTGAATCGTTCTTTTATCCATGATTATAATGCAGTAATTAATAGCAATAACTGAAGAGGGTCAGTAGAACAAAGCAAGCAGATCAGGGGAGGGAGAAGGAGAGGGAAAGGGAAGGTACTGAAGAATAAGTTTGATCAAATTATTTTATGTGCATACACAGATATGGCATAATGAATCCCACTATTGTGCATAATCATGATGCACCAATTACAAAGACAGAACTCAGACACAAAAAGACAAATTAGCCTGATTATAGTAATCACTTCACAATGTATATGTATATTAAAGCATCATGCTGTATACAAATTTTACTTGTTAATTATACCAAAGTAAATCTGGGGATGGGATGAACTCTATAGATGGGCCAAGGTTTCCCAAAGCTTATCCACTGGTCAGTCCCTCCATGAGTTTACAATGAATGGCCAAGTGCTAATAGTTTTCTATTTATATCATTAAATAATGTTTTCCTCAAAATGCCTCATTTGTATTTAAACAGTACAGTTATTTGTAGAAGATTAAAGTCTATTATGGCCTGAGATGAAAAAAAAACTTATAATTTACTATATACTTCAACAAGCTAAAAGAAAGGATTTTAGAAGATTTT